GTGCTTGCAAATTTAACCAGATTTCAATAAAATATATAATCGATAACATCTATCAAAATTCATAAAAAAACTACTAGAATTTAATTTATTTCAATGTGGACAGATTTTTCTCAGAAGAGTGCTCAATAGAGAACTAGACCGACAATAAGCAATAAGTTAATAAAAATTCTATCGACCCTCACGATATATATATATATATATATATATATATATATATATATATATATATATATATATATATATATATATATTGCTTAAGAATAACAAAGTGGATAATGACGCGCTTTGATCCAAGGAGGATCTTAGGAATACGAATAATTCTTCGATATATATATATATATATATATATATATATATATATATATGTGTGTGTGTGTGTGTGTGTGTGTGTGTGTGTGTGCGTGCATGCGCGCGGGCGTGTGTGTGTGTATCAAAGTCGACAATTTGTTTTATAAAAGTGGACAATCTGTTTTCTTGTTTCATGCTTGGCTGACCTGAATATTGTCTTAAGATTGCGTTTAAGCGTGAAACAGACTGTTGCCGACCTTATCCCCGTTAATGAGCACTTTTACACAAAATTATATCTTACCTCCAAACTATATTTTTATATATATATATATATATATATATATATATATATATGTGTGTGTGTGTGTGTGTGTGTGTGTGTGTGTGTGTGTATATATATATATATATATATATATATATATATATATATATATATATACTGAATATTGATTTTACGTAGCTATCATATTAATGTATCAGCACAAAATTCACTTTATCTTAAATATTTTGTGTAATATAACTGCTATTAGAAAATTGTCATTGTTATCAAATGATACATGTTGTTATCGATTTTATTTACTAACAATGAAATCAATGAATATGTAGTAATTGCATTCATTTTATCCCTGGTAAAGTCTACAAGCACAACCCAACCTCATATTATGAAACATTTGCCTGTACAACAATTAACCCCATTATCAAACAATTAACCAATATTTATGCATAACCAACTTTTAACCAACCATAATAAATGTAAATAATTATGCCTAACTGAAATTTAAATTTGTTTCCTTTTTTTACACTGTTTTATGCATTATACTGTCAACTAACTTATGTGTGTATGTGTTTGTCTGTGTGTGCGTACGTGTGTGCGCTTTGTGTCAAGTATGTATATGATCTACAAAATCATTTTTCAACTAAGGATACATTTTGTCGTGTGTCATAAATGTCAGCGTAAAGATTTAAAGGAATTTTTTAAAACAAAACTAAGGAAGGATTGTTTTTTATAATCCATTCCAAGAAACAAACGAGTCTTTCTTTTTTCATTGCGTTTGGCTTTTGGCAACATATATAAGAGAACTGCTCAGTAAGAAATCACAATATCAAAATGCTAACCGAATTTCTTCGTTGTTTGTGAAAAAATATTCTTTTCTGAATAAATATAAATTTACAAAATCAAGCTGCTCAAACCAGACAATTATTTTATAGCTTTCTTTTAGAGATCATCAGAAATTTGTGTTTGTGCTGTTTTCGTATTGTATGGGAATTGTGTCGTCAGAAGAGACAGTCGAACTATTAGACGAAGACTTGCTATTATTACTAATTATTTTTCTTGCATTTCTTTTGTCATTATCCTGGTGTTTTATTGCATATCTACTATCGCTATTCTGCCATAATTTAATAAGAAACATAAAAATAAGCATCTGGTGACGTTTGAGCTGATATGAATTAAGCTTCGAATGAAGTCAATACTTTGCAAAATACCCTTTTACTAGTTCGGCCACGAATGCACTACGAAATGTTGCTTACAGAGAACGCGGCTGGTCAAAGAAAAGTCGCTTCCATGACTAAACTTCATTCTCTTTGGATTATACTGGCATACCTACATGGACAGAAATGATTAATATAACGGGCAATGGAATAGGATAGGAGATTCGCATTAACACATTACTTCCAAGTGAACACATTTAATCTCAAAGTTCTACCTGAATCCACATGTTCAGTTTTGATAGAACATCCGTTCATCGTTCTCCTTTTCTCACCCAGCATCTATTTATAATTAACATAATTAACTGTAACAACATATTTTCCTAGTACGAACGACAAATAAGATAAATTAGTTACAAGAAAGTGAGCAATATTTTTTAGGTGAGTTTTTGTTTCTGTTGATATATACATTAATATTTTTACTTTGATTTCATGCTTGTAGTTTTAAATTCATTTTCATACTCATCATGCGCAGAAAGTGATTAATGAGGGATATATTTTAGTCATATATCAGATAATTTTTTTTTTTGCATTACCCTCTTGATGAGGCTTAGAATACACCGACTGTATACACTGACTGCAGAGTGATAAGATCCTAACAGAGTGGGTCATCTGCCGGGTGTTCATTTGCAAACTTGGGTATAAATCCGGCCAATATCTAGTTTTTTGATTCAAATGTAAACTGGACCTTTTTGAATGAAATGTAAACTGGAACCTTTTGATTCAAATGTAAACTGGACCCTTTTGATTGAAATGTAAACCGGACCCTTTTGATTCAAATGTAAACTGGACCTTTTTATTCAAATTTAAACTGGACACTTTTGGTTCAAATGTAAACCAGACCCTTTTGATTCAAATATAAACCGGATTCTTTGGATTCAAATGTAAACCGGGCCCATTGAATTCCAAATAAACTGGACCTTTTTGATTCAAATATAAACCGGTCTAACGTTAACCTATTTATCAATTCCTATTTTATTTTTGTCCTATAAAACTGATATTCAGTAATAAAAAAAACAACAAGGGTTGATAGGCAATTAAATTAACCAACTTAAGATAAACATCTGTGCAGCCTATAAACAAACGGATAAAAGATATGAATGCAATATATAAAGATTCTATTTTGAAATTCACTGGTATAAATGTTTATCTATCGTTAGATGTAAACCTAAACAAAGAGTTTGTATATAAACGTGTGTAAAATAGTTATTATATCAAACTGGTTTGCATATATATGAAAATGAACAATCGCATACGTATATGTAATGCAGCAAGTGAAGGCTTCTTTGCTGGCCTGTTTTTGTTGTAAAAGATGCGTAGCGTAGTTTTCATTGTTAGCTAAACTTAACCGAAGAGTTAATGAGAAATGTATACCACTAAATTATGCTACATATGTTTTCAGTTAAATTGTGAGAGAAGAAAAACAGTATTTTAGAAAATCTGTTCTATCCGGTATATGTAGTATATGTGGCACCCCTCCGCCTCGAGAGACCATGGACCAGCGCCCAAAGACTTATGATTCAGCTGCTGATGGTGGCACAGCATCTGTTATGGTTGTACAGGCTTACATGGGAGCGACAGTCTCGATTACAACGAATGCATGTGAAGACGCTCTCCCGCGATGTCTTCGTGTTGTTTTCTTTCCATCGAGCGCGTTTCTCCTTGGTGGCAAGCCTCCGTTTCTTATCTCCTCTCTCCAGCCCTCGGTGTAAATCGCGTCTTAAACATAAGCGAGCGTTGACGAAGTCTTTCCACCTCTCGATGTCCATCTCTCTCGCGTCCCTTTTGCAGATGTCCTTGAAGCGAAGATAAGGTCGTCCTCGTGCCGGTGGCCAGTTCCCCGTACAGAAGGATCTTCAGAATCCTCACATGCGGCACGCAGTGTACATATCCGAATCAACGAAGCCTGTATTTTTGGAGAAGGGCGTGTAGGCTGGTTAACTAGGCATGGGTGAGAACTATGGCATTGCTGACCAGGTCGAACCAATTGATGTTCAGAATGCGTCTCAATTAGCGAAGATGAAAGAAGCTGAGGTGCCACTCCTGTCTGAAGTAGAGGCTACAAGTCTCACTGCAGTAGAGCAGCACGTTGACGACGCATTCTCTATAAACTATCCAGTATTCTTCAGAATTAAGCTAAAATGAAGGAATATGAGTAAAAAATATGAATAATGCTTCTAAGTGAAATACTTCATTTCAAAGAAATTCAGCAGGCAAACAAATCATAATCTATTTTAGTAACAATAAAATAATTGTCAGACATTTGCATTTAAAATACAATTACAGCAATTATCTAATTATCAGACAGGTGTTGTTTAGTTTGTTAAAATTCGGGTTTTATTTACCTTATAGTCCTATCGTCATTTTAGTATAACTTTGTACGAATGGTGTAAATAGCTAACGAAATATTAACAGTATTCAATATTTGGTTGCTATTTCAATATTCCTTACCTATATGCAAGGAAGTGGCTACTTGTGAGATTTACAGAGGTAATTTCCTCTGTTCCATTTTAAATAAGCATCAAAAACAAAAACGATTTTTGTCTTTTTGGTTTGATAAGTTTGACTAAAGACAGAGCCGGTCCTCCGCAAAATTGAAATAGAAAGAGAAAGGCATTTCGTCCCCATCTATCACACACTGAATTGTTATTTTCTGTGTTGTATCTTTATATATATTTATGTATATATATATATATATATATATATATATATATATATATATATATATATATATATATATATATATATATATATATATATATATATATATATATATATATATATAGAAATTAACAATAAATATTTCATTTTATGGGACATAGATTTAAAAAGAATAACAAAATAACAGAAACAAAAAAATTATGAAATATAAATATAAATAAAATATAAATATAAATAAAATATAAAATTATAAATGTTTAAACGAAGCCAAAAAAATTAAGACGTAAATCATTATATCAAACTTTAAAAGCAAACGTAGGCTTCTCAACGAAATCAAGGTCGGAAATGGTTTATCTTATCGTCTGCTTACGTGTTTATGTCTAGGTAATGTTTTACGCATTTATCTCAATTTTTTTTTTCGTTATTTTGTTATTGTTTTTGGTGTTGTCGTTGTTGTTGTTGATTTTATCATTTTTTTCTCCCTGAGAACTTTTTAGTGGAACATCAGAAACATAACAGGTTTGGTTTAATTTTCTTATTTTCATCGTTATTTCTTTTCGCAGGCAATTCTATCTCTGAAAATGTAGATACCCAATGCTTGATGACCAAGAAAAATGCACGCAGTAAGTACAGCAGTTTTTCTATTATTCATTTACATCTTAGAAAGTGTGACTTGAAAATATATCACTTAAAATTCACATCTACTTTGAGCTGAAAAAATATATTCAAACAATTAATCCTAAATTAATTCGATTTGTTATTATCATCTCTCAGGCATATAAATATTGCGCTTAAGATTCCAATATATAATAATAATTTAAATATCTTTTTTTTGAATGTGCTGTGTCCATTTATTATGCCGGCGAACTTGGATGTCCACTACTACTTATCCTTTCTAGCTCTTAATAAGATTTGTCTACTCCCTATCTCTTCCAATTCCTGTTTTCCCATCCATTTACACATGATTCTTCATTATCCGACGCAGAAATTTCAAGTATTTTCTTTCTGATTCTAAGCATAAGCATACATTTAGTTTCTATTACCTGAAAAATATTTCCTCGATATTCACATGCACTGTTCCTAGTATTCTCAGTATCCTTCTGTAGAACCATATACAGGGTGCAATGGCTAAATTGTCGCCATTTTATCTTTTTAAGTTTACATATGCGCGTTGTCGATTGATTTTGATTTTATCGACTGCACAGTATATTATGGTCAGTCGGGCACCGTATGTGAGAAAAAAAGAGCACTATGACGCAATTTACTCTGTGAGAAATTTGGAAACAGAATGCTGTCCAGTTTGGTATTCGCACCGGAAGTTCCAATACGAATATTTCAGAGTGGTTGGGTGTCAATCTAAAGATAGTGCAAAAGATTCGGAAAAAATTGGATGACATATCCAGTCAACATCATGGTGTTTGGAGTGACCACTAGGGATAGTGACATTATGCCTCCATTCATCCTCTTACCGGGACTCAGACTCAACAAGGAGACCCACATCAAGTGTCTTAAGGAGGTAGTGCTCGCCTGGGTAAAGAGGCTGGCTGCTAGGAGACCCTATGTCTGGTAACAAGTTCTGAACCATGCCACAGAAGCAGGAGAAATTAGTCATGGCTGTCAGACAATTTCTGTGACCATATCATCCCTTACATCTGGCTCCATACTACAACTCCCTTGATTATTATGTGTGCCAGAGACCTACAAAACTCATTTTACCACCAAAGATGAACTGAAGGCAACGATTATGGCAGCATTCACCAATTTAAACAAGGGGGCCGCCTAGAAGAGATGCAGAAGATTGCGATGTCGTCCGGAGGCCGTGGTTGAAGCCAAAGGCAATTTTATTGAATAAATTTAGTATTTCCAGATATTTTTTGTGTAATTCTGGTAAATATATCTGTCAAAATGAGATATCAATGTTATTTTCATTTTTACGCAATTTAGATTATAATTTATCCACGCACCTAGTATTTGTTGCTTCAAGTTTCATCGGTATAAAAATTGTCCTTCATTCACTACTATAAAGTGTTTTCTTAAAGATTTTTTTCATGTTTTTACTATTTAGTTTCATTTTCAAAGACCTCTTCTGCTATTGCAATGCGACTTAGTTTTTACATTTACATACTTTGATAAAACATTTCCCAGATATCTAAATTTTCTTGTTTAATTGTGACATTTCCAGTTCGTAGTTCACATAATAGGCATTTTCCCTTGTAGGCTACCTTAGATTCTGTCTTCTTTCAATTGATGGTTAGTTCTTTCTTCCCGTTTTCTTTTACTATCTTGTCTAGTAATTCCTAATATTTCCTTTCTATCTGTTCTATCAACACAGTGTCACTTGAATATCTTATATTGCTAAGTTTGTGTCAATCAATATTCAATCTTATTATTGCTTCTAACACTCTCAGGATTGCTTCGCTGAAAAGCTTGAATAAATCCGGTGAGACGATATGTCCTTTTCTTATGCCCTTTCCGATTTTTGACTCTTCTATCCTTCCATATCTCTGATCTGCCATCCATTCACACAAACTCAATAGATATTTTACTCGCTGTTTTACTTTAAATCTTTTTTCTTCAATGCATCTTGTGAGTAATAATTTTTCTCAACCATCCTTCCTCATTATAAATTCACATCTGTATGGATGTAGGTGTATATATCCAGGATTATTCGAAAATCTTTAATAAATCAATCAAGTTTTCAATTCAAATATGCAGACATATATATATATATATATATATATATATATATATATATATATGTGTGTGTGTGTGTGTGTGTGTGTGTGTGTGTGTGTGTGTGTGTGTGTGTGTTTACTAGCATGGAACAATAAGTCCAAGTCGTTATATAATTATAAATTGAATTTTGATCTGAAATTATCACTGTATTATGGTTTATCGATGTTGTTATTGGGAAAATGCTAACTTAAGTATACCGAAAAGGAAGGAGATTAGATTGAATTTGGCGGACATATAAAGGAAGCTCCAAAATCACCTCGAGAATGTAAGAAAGGAAAGCGAAACAAAAAGACTAACCCTTAACTTTAAGAAGATTTTATGGTCGTTAGTATAAAAACGATCAAAGGTGTAAGCTTTGAAATGAAGCCGTCACAATCAACAGGAACGGGAAATTAAACTATATGGGAAATGTTGTAATCTGCTACGGAAAATCTAACCCAAGGTGCATTTGAATAGTGGAAGATATCTTCAAACAGATAAATAGTGTATTAAAATATAAATATTTTAAGGTCAAAAAAGGAGTGCTGAACTGCTTCGTAATATTTATCCTCCTCGATGGCAATGAATGCTAGACAATCTCCATACCGATGAAAAAGTGAATCGCAGATATGATTCTACAGATGTCTTGTGAGAATATCATGAAAAAAATACCGAGGAAATTCAAAAGATAATGGGAACTAGAAGGACAATCCTACTTAAAATTAGAAAGAGAATTCAAATTTCTAGGATTCGTAATGAGGAAAGACGGCTTTGAAAACTTACTACTCAAAGGACGTATTGAAGAAAGTCGAGGTAGAGGAAAATCAGCGAGTAACTTACCTGATGTGTTTATGTGAATGGATAGCCGAACAGGGACAAGAGTAATGGTAGCGTCATATGTTGCTTAGTGTAGCCGGAAGTAGTGAAGAGCCATAACTGCAAACTTCCTGAAGGGGCACAGTGCATCAACTATAAAAAGTGCGTAATATGTCTTTCTTCATCATTACGTTATAGACATATTCTTTTCCTTTTACTATTTTTTGGTAATGTTCATCAGATATCAGAGCTACTCATGATAGAGGGTTAATGTATGGAGTTGTATTAGCGCAAGAAAGAACAAGATAAAAGAAAAGATATCGAATTCTAGACCTGAAGAGGTCAAGATTTAATTAGCGAATGAATCTTCAGAGTTTAGGCGGAGACTTTAGAAGAATAGAATGAAGTATACTTTAGAAGCAACCGGAACCACACTCCTAAACAAGAAATAAGGGATGAACCTCTACTCCTGTTCATAAGTTCGGTGAGGAGAAAATAATTTTTATAAATATTTATTTACAAATAATGGAAAATACTGAGAAATTCTTCTTCCTTTACATGCGATGCTCCAAGAGGACATGAGCGATTATGGCCCACGACAACTTCCTATTTTTTATCTCTTAGAAACGTTCGTCTTTCCTATCCCTCTCGAACATGTTCCGCCACCCATTTACACAAGGTGGTCAGGTAGTTAGAACGTTGCCTCCCATAGTCCCTTTTGTTTTCGATATGTCCTACAGCTATCGCATTCTTGAAGACCTTCTTTCTCATTATGCGTCCAGAAAATTTTTGGCTGTCATTTTCTGATTCGTTTTTCTTTCCATTCCCCTTTAGTTATGTTCATTGATTCCATGTTTCGTCCTTTCTCCGTACAACCCCATTTCTGTTGCGCCTAGTCTTCATCTGTGAGGAAATTGTCCAGCATTCTCTGCTATATTGGAGAACTGATATCGCTTAGCATTTCAGTCGTCTTTTCTTTGTTTCTTACGAAATTTTCCTCTTTCTTACTGTTTAGTTTTTCGAAAGCATTTTTCTTATTCCTATCCGCGTTCGGATATTAAATTCACTTAAATTTTTAAACTGTTTTTCATCCATTGCGAATATGAGGAGATAGCGGAATGATAATGATTAATAAGGATTCTACATAGCTAAGTGTCATGGCGGATCTTAGCTGTAAATGTCTGAACTGGTGGAACTAAAGAATGAAGATGGTCTAAATTTTTGTCATGGAAATCTTGATAGAAGTGCAATAGGTTTGCGACATTGTGTCTGTATGAAAGAGGCTACAGAGTGGAAAATAACTCACCTCCTACAAGGCTGTAAAAAAGGATTCTGAATTCTATCAAGGCTGAAAAGTTAAGATTGCGAAGTTGAAATGGCAGCAATAATCCGTTTTGGATTTGAGCTGACTTTTGAAAACATAGAGCATGACAGGCTGAGTCAGTTACTTTCTGGAATGATACAAGGAACACATATTTTATTGCATGAAACACCGTTGAGCTCAACAGATATTTTAAGAATGGTTTGAAAAATTTAACTTCAGTGGTAAAACTTTCTTTTAATGCCTCAACGAATTTCTTTCTGATTTTTTCACATTTGTTTTCTTCACAGCTATTTTTTCCATTTTATTTTTTTTCATCTTCTACATTTTCTTTTTTCTCTTTTCCACATTTCTTTTGATATTTTCTTTCTTCGTTATAATTCACCTACTCTCTCTCTCTTTCTCTCTCTCTCTCTCTCTCTCTCTCTCTCTCTCTCACTTTCTCTCAGTTTACTTTCTGTCTTTCTGTGTATATTTCTTCTGTTTTTTTGTGGGTCATCTTGTCATTTAAAATTCTGATTGTCCATTAATATTTAAAATGTAAGCCAAACCTTTGGGTCACCCTCTTGATTTCGAAATATCGCCTGAAATTTAAATGTTGCGTGCCTTTTTCAAAAATAATTTATTAACTCCCTTCGGGCCAAAGTGACTTTCTCTTCCTAAACGCTTTTATAATAATAATAATAATAATAATAATAATAAAGTTGTAGCATGCTTGCGGACGATAATGGGTATGTTCCCATTCACATAAATACAGTAGTAAATACTGTATGTTGGTCTGCAGCCGGAGATTAATCCCCAGCTGTGCTGGTCAAAGTCACTGCCTCCAGACAGAGAGGATCCCCAGACGAGGCTTTCTTGAAGGGCAGAGTCACGTCTCGAGAAACAGCTACCCGACCCCGTTTTATACGGGGTCGACGGGGAATTTTTGGCCGAGCTTATGGACTCGGATACCTCACATTAAATTCAGCCTTGTGTCACATCTGA